GAACAATGTAGCTTCTCGATGTCCTCAGGAAGAAAAAAATGTTCATATCACTAAATGGGAGCAAATGCAAAACAGAGATGCTACGTGGGAAATGTTAGCAAAGTTGAAAACAGACGGCAAAAGATAAGCAGGACCCTGTGAAGAGAGGTCTTGGGGATTAGACCCTGAACGTATTTGTGGACTAGTTGTGAAGGGAAGGCAGAAAAAAAGGATAAGCAGACCAAGTTTTGAAGATGGAAAAATACTTGATATATGACAGAATGAAGTAGAACTGAAGGGAAAGAGATGATAGAATATAAGAAGGAAAGTGTGTGTGTGTGTGTGTGTGTGTGTGTGTGTGTGTGTGTGTGTGTGTGTGAAGGGTTAATATTCAGTGTCTGTCTTAGTCACCTCTCTATTGCTGTGAAGAGCACTATGACCAAGGCAACTCTTAAAAGAGAACACATTTAATTGTGGGCTTGTTTACAGTTTCAGAGTTAGCCCATTACCATCATGACAACATGCAGGCAGGAATGGTGATGAAAAGTAGTTGAGAGCTACATTCTTATCAACAGGAAGAGAAGAGGAGAGAGGGAGAGAGGGAGAGAGGGAGAGAGAGGGAGAGAGGGAGAGGGAGAGGGAGAGGGAGAGGGAGAGAAGCAGACTGAACATGGCATGGGTTTTGAAACCTGAAAGACCACCCCCAGTGACACACTTCCTCCAACAAGTCACACCTACTTCAACAAGGCCACACCTCTTAATCCTCAAACAGTACCACTCCCTGGTGACCAAGCAATCAAACATATGAATCTATGGGGGTCATTCTCATTGAAACCACCATAATGTCTTTATCACTCTTCACCATATTATTTGCCAAGAACCTTCAGCACCTTGCCTAGACCCAACTATTGGATACCATGGCAACTGCACATCTGAGACTCATGGAAGAACCCTGCATCTTCAAATTCCTCTGTTGCCTGAGGTCCTTGAGGGTAACATGACATGCTTTTCCAATGTTGTCGATCTCTCCCGGGTGCTCATCTGTCTTGGTGTCACGATGTTCCCTATTCTTAAAGGCATTTGTTACAGTGAATTATGACCTAATATAATGAAAGACCCTCTTTCTGCTAGCCTGGAGCTTGCTGATTGGCTAGCTTGGCTGGCCAGAGAGCCCCAGGATCCTCCTGTATTTGATTCCTAGCATTGAGATTACAGTCACTTGGTCTCTGCCCGGCATTTTATGTGGGTGTGGGGAATATGAACTCAGGTCCTTATTCTTACGTGACAAGTGCTTTACCCACTGAACCATCTCCCTGCAAATGGGGTTTATGATGAGAAAAAATACTATCATCTCCCATTTTTTTAAGAATAATAAAACTTGCAAAGACTGGAGACTGGACACAGAAATGATTCCCTCTCATAGCAATCAGGCCCTTATACTGGTCCCTTCTCAAGGAGTAAAAATCAGCAGGGTATTTACAAAGTAGTGAGCACTTCTTGAGTTGCTTAACTTTTCATAGAAGAGCATTGCATCCAAACTGCTGAGTAGGAAATACGATCAGCATCAACTCCACGCCCATCAGAGATGTGCGAGACTCTTAAAGCTTCTCCATTATGTGTAATTCCCAAATTTCTGAAAATAATGAATGGCCTAGTCTATTCTAGTCAGGATGAACATTGCTGTGATGAAACACCATGACCAAGAGCAACTTGGGGAGAAAAGGGTTTATTTGCCTTATACTTCCACATTGAAGTTCATTGTTGAAGGAAGTCAGTTTCCGTTAAAAAAAAGAGCCAGTCTCTTTAAAAATCCAAAATCTTTTTTAAAAGTTCAAAATCTCTCAACTGTGAGTTCTTATAAAAATCAAAATTAAGTTAAACACTTTCTTACTTCAAGAGGGAAGAGCCAGGGCACAGTCACAATGTGATCAAAGCAAACCCAAACTCCAACAGTGTAAAAAAAGTCAATGTCCAATTATCTGGGATTCACTCACCATCTTCTGGGCTCCTTCAAAGGGCCTAGGTCACTTCTCCGGCCCTGCCCTCTGCAGCACACACAGCTTGTCTTCTAGGCTCCAACTGTTTCCACTCCACAGCTGTTGCTATTCTTGGTGGTCATCCCATGGTCCTGGCATCTCCAAAACCAGGGTCTTCCGTTGCAATTGGGCTGCACTTTCAAAAGTAAACTCTTCTGAGTTCTCTTCATGGTGCAAAGCCTCAACTTTTCCCCATGGCCTCTTCAGTTCTGGGGTTTCAAGTGCTCTTTGTCTAATACACCCTTCAAACATTTTCAGTGGCTCATGTGACTTTTCATCTGTAGTCTATTTCTTTCTTTCTATTTATGTGTACAGTGTGTGCATTGGTGTCCAAGTGTGTGCACCTAAGTACAGTCACCTGCAGAGGCCAGAAGAGGGCACCAGATCTCCTAGACCTGTTACAGGTGTGTGTGTGAGCTGCCCAATGTCACTGCTGGGAACAGACCTTGTTACCTCTGAAAGAGCAGCCAGTCCTCTGAACTGCTGATCAATCTCTCCAGTCCATTTCTATATTCTTGATAATATACTCAGATGTATTCTCTGGCGTGGAAACTCTACCTTTTTATTGTGTTTAATTCCCATTGGTTGTTGAACAATACAGTTGCCCACATTCCAACGGCACTCAGCACTTAGTTAAAAATCTTCTTTTACCACTGTTAGCTTAAACATCCTTAAAATCACCGACTTCTTAAACTGCTGCGTAGGTCTTATCTGAAAAAAGAACCTTAGAACCCCATCAGTGTCAGGGTAGAAATGTGCCAACGTGGAATGCACATGTGAGGAGATTACAGGAATTGCTTGGCACAGCTACAAGAAGGAGTCACTGGTGGGCTGAGTCCAAGCTGGTGACCCAAGAAATCTACTACAATAATCCATCTGGAATACAAATGCCTGAGGACAAAGAGAGGGCATGCTCCATGGCAGGAAAAGGTGATGGAGTGGCCCTGGGGGAAGGAGGGTATGTTTGAACTAAACATCCTCAGTGGATGCCTGATGTCCACCCATTTTGGTGAAGGTAGAGCTATTTTCCTCGAATGTGAAGCTTTCCCAGAGGGATCTTTGCAGACAAATACGGAAGTATTATTTTCCAGTGATTGGCTATCCAGACATAGTGGTCTTTGCGGTGACTTGTTATCCTGGCAGGGGGATCCTATTTTTTTGTAATTTTATAATTTTTGTAATTTTATATTTTTTTTTGCTAGAAAAGGCCAGCCTCCATCTCTATACAATCAGAAAATATTTCAAACCATTTGACTTCTGATATGAGTTAAAAGGCACTAACCCAATAATAGGTAAAATAATTAAAAATATAGTTTTTTTACATTTAAACATATATAATTTTTACATTTACATTTAATAGCACAAGCTTTCCCTCTCTTTGCTCCTGACCATTGTGAAGTGAGCCACTGCACTCTGCCACAGCCTTCCTGTCAAGGACTGAACCCTCTAAAGCTGAAGTTGGTACCTACTCATCTGCCTTCAACGTTGTTTCCAGCCAGCCTTTGTCACAGCAGTGGAAAGTCTGAGCAACCCGCTATCATAACCTGACATTATGTTTATATTTTTATTTTTAGGTTTCTATATATTCCTTTAATTAAATTTCTGTCAAAGTTCCTGGTGTTGTTAAATAGCAACTGAGTTTTTGAGTCTCCAAAACTACGTGTTTTGGAATCCATACTTGTAGGAACCCAGTATGTGAATTTACTTGGAAATAGGGTCTCTTGTTATATTGGGTCATAGTTCATTGTAACGGGTGTCTTTAATGATAGGGACTGTCTCAGCACTAAGAATGATGAACACAGGAGAGAAAGTAACAACGTGGGAAAAGATGTCATGGTGCCTCCAAGGACTTCTGGCAACAATCAGAACAGATTCAAGATTCTCCCCTGGAGGTTCAGATGTGCAGGTCCCATGGTACCCAGTGGTCAGGGTTTGAGCCAGGTGCTGACAGATTCTTGGCTTCCTAGTCAAGACTGAAATAAATTCACATGGACTTGCAAGGTGTCATGGGAATTTTTATTCAAAACAAAGTGATAGCATAGATTAGAAAGGCATGTACTATCAAGATTGACAGTAGGTCACATGAGTGAAGGTGCTCATGGGCTTGAGTACTTTTGGGAGCTTCCTTTTAAAGTATTGAAGTGATAGAGTTTGTTTGTGGGTGGTTCTTTACCTTGATTGAAAGACCAAGGTATCTTCTTTTCTACCAACATGGTAAATAGGGGATTCTCCCTAAACGTTGAGACTCAGTTGACCTTATTGCACATGTACTCAAAGATTCTCCCTACCCTTGTACCTGGACATAGGTGGAGCAAGACTGAATAGAGTCTAAGTTTGGTGGCTATTAAAGACAGGAGAAACTCAACCAATTGTTCAGAGATGGGTGTGTCCACAGCTGTGTGTAAATGGGGATCATAGGTTGCTAACAGGTTGTTAGTTGCTTTGTGTAGAGATGGGGTGTGTGTGGGCAGTCATGCAGTTAATGGTCTCAGGCTGCCAACTGTGGGGCAGCAAGCATAGCCCACACCAAGGGGAGGTCTGGTGGCTGCACTATTCCCTATGTTTACCTGCATCACTTGGGCATGCAGACAACATCCATTGTTCTGAGCTTCTTTATTAAAGCAAGCCCAGGAACCCATGTGTTTGGAGATTCCCTTCTCCCATTGACACCACAATCGGGAAATGCTCTGCCTCATAACTTCATGGTGGGGTAACTGTTGTCTCATCTGCAGACATCCACATTTAGAATCTGAGAAAGCAAACAAGATAACAGTGTGTTCTTTTAATTTTTTTCTTTTTTCTGTACCGTATTCTTTGCTTAGTGGTGTCTCCGGTTTCCCCATGGCAGGGTGACTCCTTCCCACCCCCGTTCCTGCCACTCCACGCTCACTCCCCTTCTCACTGTCTGTTCTTTTCGTCCTCTCTCTTTCCTCCTACACGGTCTCCTGTCAACGTCCTGCTACCTCCCTTCATCGGTGGTGGCAGCTCTGTTACCCCTGGGAGGGTTAGGATGTGCCCAGATTCAGCGAGAGCTCCGCATGGAGTGTGACAGAGCAGGCAGTGAAGGTAAATCCCATCTGTCTCTCCAGCTTGTCCTCAAGCCTGCCCATTGACATTTTAATTTTAGTGTGTATATGTTCAATATGTGCCAGAGGTTCTACTTCATCATTTTTCAAATCTTTTCAACTTTTATAGTCCCTTTCCCCATTTATTCTCAAACTTGTTCATCTGTTCATGAGGCATGTCTATCTTTGAGAAACCCAACATCTTGTTATACTTCTTTGATTTTCTCTCTATGAGTTTACATGGCTTTTCTGTGGGAAAGAAATCAGTTACATTTGGTTCTATTTGAGTGTGGGCCGAATATTTGCTTTGACGTCTTATTGATGCAGGCAGCAGAGGCCAGGGGCAAGGAGATCCTTGCAGAGAGTAGCTGAATTTGCATCCAACAGAGTTTCCTAGACAGGATGGCCAGAGGCAGTTCCCAAAGCACAGCGTTTGGATCAGAACTGAACCCAAGGCCTATAACAATGGCACTGTCATCTTGGCTTCCATGTCACCCTCTTGCATGACCTTAATAAATGACGCTCCTTGTTCTTCTGAGGAAGCTTGTGAGTGCATTTTCTATTGATGTTTAATCTGAAGAAGCAGACACTACCTATGGGGGAAGAATCTCTATTGGACTGTCTACCCTAATGGTCCTGGAGTTAACCTGAACCCACAACACTGAATATCTGTGTATCTCACCACACAGATCTCTCCAGTATGACAGCTGGCTTCAGGGCAAATCCATTTCTGCGCTCAGTTCACCAATCTGTTTTCTATGTTGGTCTAGTTAATTTTATTAACTTTACTTTTTTTTGTTTATGCTTGTATAGTATATGTGTGTGTTTATGTCTGTGTATATATGGAAGCCAGAGATCAATATTGGATGACTTCTCAAAGCACTTTCCACCTTACTTTTTGAGGCTGTCTCTCCTTGAACCTGGAGCTCCTTGATTGATCTAGACTGGCTGTCCTGTGAGCCCCAGGGAGCCTCTTGTCCCTGCCTCCACAGTGCTACAATTACAGGGGTGCATCACCCTGCCTAGGTTTTTTTTTTATGTGAGTGCTAGGGATCAAAATAAGGTCCTGATGACTGTGATCACCAAGGACTTTAATGACTGAGCTGTCTCCCCAGCCCTCTAGCTTTGCTTTTCACAACTATTGAGTCTAATAAGTGCTGCCAGTATGCACAAAGGTATGGGGCACCACCCACAGGAGCATGGGAATCCTATGATGGGTCACATCACAGAAGAAAATTGACTCTTCTTCCCCCAGATACCATCAACTATGGGGAACTCTTCAGACAGGGGTGGGGACTCATGAGCTTCTCCCTCTCCAGTTATTCTGCCCCCTTTCCATGATGTTCCCTAAAGTAGGTGTGTCTGTGTGTGTGTCTGTGTCTGTGTCGTCTATGTGTCTGTGTGTGTTATTGATATTCCACTTAGGGTTGAGCACTCATATCACTTACTCTTTGCACTATGGTAAACTGGGAATCTTTGTATTAGCCGCCAGCTTTGACATAAAGGCGTTTCTGAGTTGAGGGGTGAGAATTGCGCTTGTCTGTGGATACAAGGATGAGTATTCAGAAGGCAGGCCAATGCTTTGTCCCTTTAGCAAAATAGTAGTAATAGGGCCCTTGACCTCCCTCAGCTTCTTAGCAAGGTTTACAATACCAGGCATAAGTTCTTTCCTGTGTAGTGGGCCACGAATTCAATGAGCGTGCTGTTGGTTACTCATTCATACCACGGCTGCACCTGTGTGCACACCCTGCCTGGCTGGCCATTATCATAGCACAGAGCTAGATTCACAGCTGGGCAAGGTTCTTCATGGTTTTTCTTACCCAGCATCCCACAAAGTGTCTTTTGGGGCTATAAAAGCAAGAAGGTGGAAGCTTCCAGGTCAATACCAGCTTGATTTCTTCACATCCTGTGATGTGTGTGGTGTCTTCAGTGATGGGGTCTTAGCATCAAGTTCTAGTGGATACAAAAGATCAATGGCAATGGACTGTATTATTTTGGAGGTCTCCAGGACCACCCTGACCAACAACTTGACAAGGGTATCCGGCCTGGAATTGAACTTTTTTATTTGATAGCCAATGGCTTTGGGGGATGAGCATTATCCTTCATGTAGGGCAACTCTAAACACTCACACATGTTCACACACATACACACACACACACACACACACACACACACACACACAAGGCGGGAAGGGAGAGAGAGATGTTAGAGATGTTAGTTTCTCTCTGCTCCCCTGGTTTCTACATATCTAAAGATTTAAAGCTAGGAACTACATTTGAGAGAAAACATAAGACATTTTTCTTTTGTTGTCTAGGTAACTTCTCTCAGTATAATTTTTTCCAATTCCATTCAATAATTTGCAAATTTCACAACTTCAATTTTCTTCACAGCTGAATAGACTTCCATTGTCTGAGTGTATGGAATTTAATTATCTATTTATCAGCTGCTGGTTATCTAGGCTGAATCCATTTCCTAGCTACTGTGACTAGAGCAGCAGTGAACATGGGTCATCAAGTGTCTCTGTAGTGGGATGTGGAGTCCGTTGTGTATATGCCCAGGAGTGGTAGCATTGGGCCGTATGGCAGCTCTATTTATGTCTCTTTGAAGAAGAGAAATCCACACTGATTTCCATACAGGATGTACCATGCACCCCACCAACAGTGAATAATCTCCCCCTTTTCTCACCCACACCACTTTATGTTGTTAGATGTTTTCTTGATCTTAGCCCTTCTGACCAGCACAAGATGAAATCTCAAAGTTGCATTAATTTAGTTTCCCTGATAGCTAAGAATGCTGAACACTTCTAAAAATATTTCTCACCTTTTTTGGTATTTCTTCTTGTGGGAGTTATCTATTCAAATCTGTAGGGCCCCTTTAATAATAACTTTATTTTTTGAAATTATAATATAATTACATCATTTATCCCCTTCTCTTTCTTGCTCCAACCCCTCCCGTGCATCCTATTGATCTCTCTCAAACTTATGGCCTCTTATTCTTTGATTGTCATTACACACACACACACACACACACACACACACACACACACACACACACACACACACTATAGGACCCAGAAGATCTGAGCTGGATCTGACCTGAAAACCTCCTTACTTTAAGGACTAGCCTTTAGGGCATCAGAAGATTTCCATGCAAGCTTCCAAAGGAGAGAAGGAACTAATATTCCTACCCAGCTATAATGCCTATGAACCACAAAAAAAAAAAAAATTACCCAGTATGGCACAATAACTCAATGAGGCAATAGTGGAACACATACCTTGGCAGTAATAAATAACTCAGTAATTAGAACTAAGGCCTGCTCAGCAAGAGGGAAACCGTGTTTGCTATGAGAAACCTACCTAACTACCCAGGGATAGTAAAGTTGTGAATCTTGGAGAAGAATTTGCAACCACGACTTTATTGAAATAGTATAAAATTCCTAACTATGTTTTAAATATTTATCCTTATATCCACAGATAAATGAAGTGCTTACCCCTCATCAAAGAAACTTCTCTTTGCATTGGGCAGAGACTATTACTGAAAAACCACAACTGATTAAAAATCAGAGAACAAAAGATGGTATGGGGTGCAGGCCAACTGATACATCTACAGCCCAATTCCTGCACCTAGAACTCAGAAATTGTCTCAGAAGAGAGGTTTTAAAGATTGTAAGAGCCAGAGGAACAGAACAGGAAATTTGCTGTGAAATTGTGTCTCCTAAAAATGACAGAGAGGGCACATCCATGATGTCTCATCAATAAGGCTGTCTGCACAAGACCTGTACAAAGATATCAATGCTGACATTGAAAGAAGAAAGCTTGTAAAATCTCAACCCTAGACAAAGAATTATCGGCAACTGGGAGATGTTGAGAGTAGTAGAAATTGTCTTCTTCAGGGACAAGACATCCCATCCTCTACCCAATACTAAGTGATCACCCTGTAGCCCATTTTAATTGGATCATTTGTTTTATTTAATCTCTCTCTCTCTCTCTCTCTCTCTCTCTCTCTCTCTCTCTCTCTCTCTCTCTCTCTCTTTCTCTCTGTGTGTGTGTGTGTATGTGTGTAAGTTTTTGTGTACCCTGTGTTTGCATGGTGCCAAAGGAGGCCAGAGAGCATGGGAGACCATGGTACTAAAGTTACAGGCACCCTTAAATTGCTTCATGTAGGTGCGGAGAGTGACCTGAGTCCTCTGGAAGAGCAAGTGCTATAAACTGCTGAGTCCCCATCATTCGCTTTCTTGATTCTTTGTTTTTGTTTTGTTTTAGCTCTTTGTATGTTCTGGACATTAATCTTCTATCAGATTTATAGCTGCTGAAGATTTTTCTCCTTTCAATTGATGCGTTGTTTCTTTTGCTGTATATCAAAGTATTTTAGTTCCACTTGTCTATTGTTGGCATTAATTAGTTCCTGAATGAATGAAGACTTATTGAAAGGGTTTTTCCTGTGCCTACATGACGCAGAGTGCTCCCCACCTTTGCCTCAAACAGTTTCAGAATTACAGGCTTCACAGTGAGGTCTTGTTTTGTTTGGAGTTGTTTGTTATTTTTCAGGGTGAAAGACAAGGGTCTAATGGCATTCTTTTACTCAGAGACATCCAGTGTTCCCAGCACCATCTGTTGAAGATGTCATCTTTATTCTCAGTCTCTTTGTAGAAAACCTGGTAGATAGATTTACAGAAAACCAGGTAGATATGATTACATTGACTTTATCTGAGTTCTCTGTTCTACTCCATTGATCTGCACATATGGATTTGAGCAAATAGCATATTTTTTTAAATTTGTTACTATGTCTCAGAAGAATAACTTGAGGTCAAGTATGTTGATCCCTTCAGCATTATTCTTTTTGCCTCAGGGTTGCTTTGGCTATCTGAGGTCATTTGAGTTTTTATATTAATTGCAAGATTTTTTTGCCTATTTTTGTGAAGAATATCATGGAGATTTTTATCGGAATTTGATTGAATCTGAAAATTCACTTTTGGTAATTTATAAGATGGTCCTTTTCACA